TGTATGAAGTAGGGGGGGGGGGAGATTGTCAGAGAAAGCATGTGACATAAATATGTTTATCATTGATGAAAATACTTTCCAGTCCAAACTGGAAATGTTTTCATGTGAATTGAAAATGTGCTAATTCAAATTGCTTTAGGCAAACAAGATTATTTTCCAATTCAAAGTTTTTCAGAAAATCTATGTCACTATGATGACTATATGCAAAGGAGGAATCTGATACGTGTGCAGGAGAGGGATTTTTTTATAACAGTGAACTAGACCAGGCAGTCACAAGGAGTCTACAGTGACTCAAAAATGCATACACGTGCGCACACACGCACACACACACAAAGCCTCTGTAGTTAGACTGTGTCTCTACTCCTCTCTTCATGTGGCTTACCAAATAATAGGAACTCTCTCCACATTTGCATCAGATCACCCTAATCTATGCAGAAATCTCATTTCAGTATAATAAAATGTCACTTTGTATTGCTACTATTATTACGAGGATAGAACCTGTAACGTACAGCTGTAGGAATTATTTGCTTCTGTGTGTTTTCAAAAACAAGATACTGCAAGACCTGGATATAACTCTGCCCTGAATGACTGCTAGCCAAGTAGGAAGACCTGCATCAGATGAAATGAAATAACTTCACTGAATCAATAGATGTGAACAGATTACAGCTTCGGTTATTCAGGAAATAACTACAGTATGATAGTGATCTGGTTTGTGCCTTATTCATTATAATCTACAATTTAGATTCAGAGGTTTGCTAGGATACGGGCAGGCAACTCATTGCTACAATAATAAGCAATAATTGCTAGTGTACAGGGAGACATCTCATTAAAACTCCACCAGGTATTATTTCCCAGGCACCCTCAAGAAGCAGGTTTTCTGACATCTTTATATAGCAATTCAATTATGCATAGCCTTTAATATGAGCTTAGGGAAACAATGTTTGTGATTCCGTAAATGCTCACATTTTGTGTTGCAAGGGATTACTCTCCCTCACTTTAAACACAGACCAAAGCCCATCCAGTTCTTGCAGTAGCCAATCCAATGGCACTGGAAAACCCATTAGCAGGATAGGTGTTCAGACTCCATTTTTGTACCTTAGCAACTGGTATTTAGAGAGTCTTGGTGCTTCAGAACCTAGAATGTCATACAGTACATTTATCCTGGATAGGAGCAGGTCATACAGTGACACTGAATTTGTCTAATCCCCTTTAGATTACAATTTACCTCATTTAAATTAGTGGCCATTCATCAAAACTGAATCCATAGTTTATGCATTACGTGAAGAAGTATTTGGTCTGTTCTGAATTTCCTATATTCGCTGAGTTCCAATATTATGGGGGGGGGGGTCTTCTCCAAACATGCATTATTTTTAAACCTCTACTGTCTGCTCCCATTTAACTGCTCCCCCCTCCTTAATTAAAAAACATAGTCTTATAAACTTTCCTTCCCTTTTACCCATTTCTGTTGTAAATCATTTGAGATTGGTCAACTAAATAGAAGGGGGAAGGGAGAGCGAAAGCTCACACTTCCATCCTTTTTTTTTTTTTTTTTTTT